AACAAAAACACAATGTACCAAAACTTACACAATGCAGCAAAAGCAGTACTAAAAGGAAATTTTATAGCAATAAATGTCTACATTAAAAAAGAAGAGCCGGGCTCGGTGGCTCAGCCTGTAATCCCGTGCCTTGGGAGGCTGAGGTGAGTGAATTGCCTGAGCCCGCGGGTTCGAGACCCGCCTGGGCAACTTGGCAAGACCTCATCTCTACAATAAAAATCAAAAATCAGCCGGGCGTGGTAGCGCGCACCTGTAGTTCCTGCTGCTTGGAAGGCTGAGGTGGAAGGATCGCTGGAGCCAGCAGATCAAGGCTGCAGTGGCCGGGAGCGGCCACTGCACTCCAGTCTGGGCGACAGAGTGAGACTCCAACTCAAAAAAAAAAAAAAAAAAAGAGAGAAGAAATACTTCAAATAAACAGCCTAAAGAACTAGAAAGAGTAAGTCCAATGTCAGCAGAAGGAAGGAAATGATAAAGATCAGAGAACAGATGACCAGATTAAATAGAGAACAGAAAAATTATACCAAAAAATCAGCAAAACTAAGAGCTGTTTTTTTAAAAAATAAAAACCGACAAACTACACTAAGCTAGACTAAGAAAAAAGAGGGCTCAAATAGAATTAGAAACGAAAGAGGATCTTCCTTGGTTGAGGCAGATGAAAGAAAGAAATGAGGTCAGATGAAGTGGCTCACACCTATAATCCCAGCACTTTTAGGAGGCCAAGGCTGGAGGATCACTTGAGCCCAGGAGTTTAAGACCAGCCTGAGTAACACAGCAAGATCCTGTCTCTACAAAAAGAAATAATAATAAATAAAAAGGAAGAAGAAAAAGAAGTGAAAGAGGAGATATTACGATAGAAGCCTCAAAAATAAAAAAGAATAACAGGGGATTATTATGAATAATTATACACTAACAAAATGAATAATCTAGAAGAAATAGATGCAGAAAAAGCATTTTGCCAAATTCAACATCTATTCATGATATAAGCACTAACAAAATAGATATAGGAGGAACTTGCCTCCACATAATAAAGACTCTATATGAAAAGTCCACAGCTAGCATCATAATTCAGGGGAAGAACTGAAACCTTTTCTTCTAAGATCTGGTACAAGGTAAAGACGTCCATTCTTACCACTTCTATTCAATATAGTACTAGAAATTGTAGCCAGAGCAATTAGACAAGAAATAAAACACATCCAAATTTTAAAAGAAGTAAAATTATCTCTATTTATAGATGACATTATCACAGAAAACCCTAAGGACACAACAACAACAAAAAATACTGTCAGAACTAATAAATGAGTTCAGTAAAGTTGCACAATTAAAATATCAACATAGCCGGACTCGGTGGCTCAGCCTGTAATCCCGCGCTTTGGAGGCTGAGGTGAGTGGATTAAGGGTGGGTCTTCTTCTCCCAGTCCACCCTCTCACATGTCAGTCTCCTCTGGAAACACTCTCAAAGTCACACCCAGAAACAATGCCCGCGGGTTCGAGACCTGCCTGGGCAATTTGGCAGACCTCATCTCTACAATAAATCAAAAATTAGCCGGGCGTGGTAGCGCACGCCTGTAGTTCCAGCTACTTGGACGGCTGAGGCGGAAGGAATGCCAGAGCCCAGCAGGTCGAGGCTGTGGTGGTCGGGAGCGTGCCACTGCACTCCCGTCTGGGCAGAGTGAGACTCCAACTCAAAAAAAAAAAAAAAAAAGAAATATCAACATAAGAAAATCAGTGGCATTTCTATATATAAACAATGAACTTCTGATTTAAAAATTTGTAATGCCACTTAAAATAGCATCAAAGTTAATAAAATACTTAGGAATAAACTTAATTAGAGATGAAAGACATATATACTGAAAATTAAAATACATTGTGTGGTTAATATTAGGTGTCAACTTGAATACATTAAGGGATACCCAGATGGCTGGTGAAGCATTGTTTCTGGGTGTGACTCTGAGAGTGTTTCCAGAGGAGACTGACATGTGAGAGGGTGGACTGGGAGAAGAAGACCCGCCCTCAATGTGGGCGGGCACCATTCAATCACCTGCCAGCAGGGCTACAAAAAGCAGGTGGAAGCAGAGGGATAAGTAGCTTGCTGAGTTTTCTCCCACTCTCACTTTCAACTCCCTAGTGGGACGCTTTGTTTTTCCTCCTGCTCTTAGACATCAGACTCCAGATTCTTTGGCCTTTGGACTCTGCGGCTTGCACCAGCAGTTTCCAGGGAGCGATCATGCCTTCGGCCTCAGATAGGGCTGCAGTGTTGGTTGTGAGGCTTTCTGGCTTGGACTGAACCATGGTACCAGCTTTTCTCATTGCCCAGCTTGCAGATGGTCCATCACGGGATTTTGTCTTATAAGCACGTGAGTTAATCCGCCCTAATAAATTCTCTTTTAAATATACATATATCTTGGGCAGGCATGGTGGCTCAAGCCTGTAATCCCAGCAATTTGGAAGGCTGAGGTGAGGGGATTGCCCAAGTTCACGGGTTCTAGACCAGTCTGGGCAACATGGTAAGACCTCATCTCTACAATAAATCAAAAAATTAGCCAGGTATGGTAGCATGCATCTGTAGTTCCAGCTACTTGGAAGGCTGAGGTGGAAGGATCATCAGAGTCCAGCAGGTTGACAGTGGGGTGGCCATGAGTGTCCCACTGCACTCCAGCCTGGGCGACAGAGAGAGATTCCAACTCAAAAAACCCCCCCAAAAATATAGACATATATCTTGGTTCTGTCCCTCTGGAGAACCCTGACTAATACATACATTGACTAAGAAAACTAAAGGTACAGATAAATAGAAATACATTCCAACTTCATGAATCAGAAGACTTAATATCATTAAAATGTCCATACTACCCAAAGTAACCTACAGATTCAGTGCAATCCCTACCGAAATCCCAATGGCATTCTTTATAAAAATAGAAGAAACGATCCTAAAAATCATACAGAACCACAAAAACCCTTAATAGCCAAAGCGATCGCTTGAACAAGAAGAGCAAATCTGCAAGCATCACACTTCCTGATTTCAAAATATACTATAAAGCTACAGTAATCAAAAAAGTATGGTACTGTCACAAAAACAGATATGTTGACTAATGGAACACAATAGAAAACCCAGAAATAAACCCATGCATTTACAGCCAGTTGATCTTTGACAACACACAATGGGGAAAGGACAGTCTCTTCAATAAATGGTGTTGGAAAACATGTATGAGTAACACCACATACAAAAATCAACTCAAACTCTCTTAGCTCTGTTTGATCACACAGACCCAGTAGGTGCTTGGAGTATTTTCAGGGAAAGAGAGGAAGGCTGCCCTAATGCACCACAGAGTAGGCCAAAATGGCCTCTCTGTTCCTAAGAGTGCGACAGGTCGGAAAAATCAGCTCACAATGGATTAAAGACTTAAATACAAAATCTGAACCATGAAGTTACTAGAAGGAAACAAAGGGGCAATTATGTTTTGGATATGACACCAAAAGTACAGGCAACAAAAGCAAAAATAAACAGGTAGAAGTGCATCCAACTGAAAAGCATCTGCACAGCCAAGGAAACAACCGTGAAAAGACAACAACAGTGAATGGGAGAAAATATTTACAAACCACATACCTGATAAGGTTCTACATATCCAAAATATATAAGGAATTCAAACTACTTGATAGTAAAAACAAACAAATAACCTGATTTGGTTATTTGGGCTAAGGATCTGAATAGATATTTCTCAAAGGAGGTACATATGATCACAGATACATGGAAAAGTGCTCAACGTCATAAATCATCAGGGAAATGCAAACCAAAACCACAGTGAAACACCACTCACACCTGAATGGTTATTATCAAAAAGACAAAAGTGTTGATGGGGGTGTGGAGAAAAAGGAACCCTTGTACACGGTTGGTGGGAATGCATACTTGTGAAGTCATTATGGAAAACAGAGACATATAGACCAATGGAACACAGTATGAAGAGTTCTCAAAAAATTAAAAATAGAACCACCACTTCTAAGCGTGTATCCAAAGGGAACTGAATCAGTATCTCAAAGAGATACCTGTACTCCTATGTTCACTGCAGCATTAGCCAGAAGAGCCAAGATATGGAAACAACATAAATGTCTGTCCTAGATGAACGGATAAAGACCATGTGACACAGACATATATAGGTGAATATTATTCAGTCTTAAAAATAGAAACACTGGTTTGGTGCGGTGGCTCACACCTGTAATCCTGGCACTTTGGGAGGCAGAGGTGAAAGGACTGCCTGAGCCCAGGAGTTCGAGACCACTCTTGCACACATGAATAAAGAGAATGTACGAGGTAATTCATTTCAGCTTTGTCTCTAATAGCAACACAATGCGAGCAACACATTGTAATCAATTGGGAATGGACACATTCCAACTAACAGTTAAAATAAATTAACTAGATCTTCATATATAGACATGGATGAGGAAATCTCAAAAATATATTTTTAAACCAAAAATCAAGTTGTATAATGATAGTACATAATGGTGCTATTTGTTTAAATGTGTAAACCACACATATTTTGAGATACCTGAATATGTAGAAAAGTATAAAGATACAGAAGCAACCATATTGGGGAAAGAAAAGAATGCAGTCAGGATGGGGTACAAAATAGGGGTGCATCTGCATCGGGGACATTTTATTTTGTTAAATCTGAGTGGTGAGTACATGGGTGTTGATTAGTATTATTATGAGCACATGCGTGTTTATTAGTATTATTATATGTTTAAAATATTTCACTAAAAACAGCAAGAGGACTCAGAACACAAGTCCCCTAGGAACTTTCCTAATAGATTTATTCTGGGGTGACTTCCAAGTCAATTATAATCAGTAGCAATACCTTGAGTATATTACAGTCAATAGCAGTATTTCGAGCTAATGAGACTAACAGTTTTCTAAAGTCATTCATTTCCTCCTCCCCAAAAGTTTGTAATTCATTAAAAATAGTGTCTGAAGGACACTGTCCTCAGCACATTTTTTAAAAGGTACTTACCCAATAAACAGAGATAGTTGGGTTCAGTTAATCTGGATAGTTTTGTGACCTGATTCAAGATGTTGTAAAGCTCTGTTGGTTCACATAAAACCAAACCAGCCATCCTACTGGGAAGAATCAATAATTAGCACAAACTGAACACACCCCGCCCTATTTTAGATGAATGACCACAAAGTAAGATACCGAATTAAACTCTTTCTAACAGCCTTTCAAAGATGAAAGTAATCATGTAAGCAATCAGGAAGATTTTAAAAATGTGTGGAGAAATGTGTGCAGAGGAGAATGACATATTGAATGCAACCTATGTGAGCCACATAAATAGCAGGTGGGCCGTAAAACAGCTACCAGCTCATCTGTTCATTTAGTAAACGATCACTGAGTGCCTACTATATGCTAGGCACTAGAAATAACCACGGTAAGCAAAACCTGCCTTCCTGAGGTTGCAGAGAGAGTAAGCATTCACGATCATAGGAGCAGCTAACAGGAGTTCCTCACCTGCTGGGGGGAGCCCGACAAGGGCTGTGTGAGGATGTGACTGCTAACCTGCTAACAGGAGGCTAGCAAGAGGAGGAGGGAGCGAGGCTGAAGCAGAAGACAGGAGCACTCTCCTTGGAGCAGGAGTGAGGTCCAAGGAGCCTGGCGTGGCTCTGCTCAGTGTCTGCCACCAGGCAGGCTGGAGAGCGATCAGTGAAGATGGGGCCAACCGAGGTTGTCTCTGTGTTAAAGATTACGGCAGTCACCGCCGGGTGGAGAGTTGCTGATGTGCACAGAGCTGAGCTCGGGCTCCTGACAGCCAGGACTGCTCTCCATATGCTGGTTCCTGGGCACAACTGTTTCTGGACGGGTAGGGCCTATGCAGCACATTCTGGAAAGAAGGCTACCTTTTAGCAAAGAGCTAAAAAAAAAAAAGAACAGAGTAGGACCTCTGAAGTGCCTACTATAGTGCCACTGGGGGACAGGTTGGGGAGAAACTTGAGTCCGGGGTCGTCTTGCTCAAGTAGTTAGGCTCCACTTCAGAATCACTATACCATCCTCCTGGGAAAGGTCAACACCTTGACCTCCTCAGAGACTTTAGTTCCCAGCAGTCCTTCCAACGTCATCAATTTCAGCCTCCACATAATCCCTCTGTCAGCACACAAACATCCTCTTGCACCTACCTCTGTTCTCCTTTCCAGCCAAACTTCTTAAGGGGGTGACACTTAGTCACTGCCTCGACTTCCTCGCCTACAACAAGGCTGACTCTGGAGTCAAACAAACTCTTTTAGGTCTGAAACCTGGCTCTGCCACTTACCTTGGGGAGTAATTAGCCTCTCTGTACCTCAGTCTCTCCCTCTGTAAAATGGGGGTAACAAGAGTATTGCCACAGCCGGGCTTGATGGCTCAGCCTGTAATCCCGTGCCTTTGGGAGGCTGAGGTGAGTAGACTGCCTGAGCCCACGGGTTCGAGACCCACCTGGGCAACTTGGTGAGACCTCATCTCTACAATAAATCAAAAGAAACTAGCCGGGCGTGGTAGCGCGCGCCTGTAGTTCCAGCTACGTGAAAGGCTGAGGCGGAAGGATCGCTGGAGCCCAGCAGGTCAAGGCTGCGGTGGCCGGGAGCAGCCACTGCACTCTAGTCTGGGCGACAGACTGAGACTCCATCTCAAAAAATAAATAAATAAAATAAATAAATAAATAAATAAATAAAAACAAGAGTATCGCCACTTCTGTAAGATGAGGATAACAGTACCAGCCTACTATGTGTGGGTTCATGAAGTTATTCTTGGAAGGTATTCTGAGCAGGGAGAAAATGCTCAGTTAGCGTTGACTATTGCCACAACCTTCTCCCCTGGAGCTTCTGACCCCACCCAACCACCACAACTGTTCTCATCAAAGTCATCAGCAATATCCTTCTTGCCTAAGCCATTGGTTACTTCTCCCTGGGTTCAAATGATTCAGCCTCTTGGCAGCATGTAACATAGTCAAGCAAGTTTTCTTCCCCAAATGATCTTCTCCCAGGACACTACACTCTTCAAGCTTCCCTTCTTCCTCTCAGACCGTTCCTCTCCAGCCCTCTTCACTAGAGGTCCCAGCGCTTCATATAAAGATGCCCCAGACTTAGTTGTCTTTTTTCTTCTCTATCTACACTCTCACTCTAGCGCAGTATCTCAACCCTGGCGCCATTGACATTGGGGGCCAGAGAAGTCCTTGTTGTAGGGGGCGACCTGCGCATTGTAGGAGGTACAGCAGCATTCTTGGCCTCCACTCAGTGGGTGCCAGTAGTAAACCACCCCCCTTCGCTATGACAACGAAAAATGTCTCGTCACTGCCCAGGGTCCCTTGGAAGAAGGGGGCAAATCCGCCCCTACTTGACAACCGCAACTCTGAGAGACAGAGTCTCAGTGATTTATCCAGTTTCCTGACTACCACCCAAAACCAATGACTCCTACATTTTATCCCCTCTCGTGACCTCCCAGCTGAACTCCAGACTCTACTGTCATGGGAATCTCAAATACAGAGTGGCCAGAATAGCACTTTAATCCACACCTCCAACACCTATTCATCTTTTAGCCTTCTCAGTTTCAAAACCAGAACCATGATTCGCCCAGCTGCCCAAACCCGACTGCCTGATTCCTTTTTCCCTCGCCCCCTCACATCCTATCTCTGAGCTTTGCCTCCTAAACGTATTCCAAGTCCATCCACTTCTCTCCATCTCCAGGGCTACCATCCTAATCCAAGATACTATCATCTCCCTCCTGATGAGGTAATACAGTCCAACAAGACTTCTTGCCTCCTGCTTTCTCCCTACAGTCTGATCTTCACAAAGCAGTCAGGGCCATCTTTTCAACATCCAAGTGTCTCTGTCTTCACCACACTTGCCATCATCTGAAATTATAGTGCTCATTCATTTGCTTATTTATTTTTAGTCTCCTCCCCTGGGGAGACCTGGTTTATAAAGGTGGGGCCTTGCCTGTTCACTGCTATATCCTCACCCAATGTCCAGGATTTACCTGCTACAAAGTAATGCTCAATAAGCACATGTGGAACAAATACATTATTTTTAGTTATCCTAACGGTCTTCACCAATGGGGCCATCTTGACCTACCTCCATACTTTCTCCACCTGTACATTCCTAGGGACCGCCTCACTCCCACCCTCCAGTCAGGTCTCAGGTCCTCTACCTCTGAAAGCCAGGCCATCTTGGGGGTGGTTAGTACAGAGGACAGAGGTGGGCTTTGGGCTTAGTCCTACAACCTTGCTAAGCCAAGCTATAAGCTAGCTACTTACCTATCTGGTCTATGGCTCAGAGCCCACCCTCAGCTCCCATCTACTTTCCCCATTGCAAACTCTGTCTCCTCGTTCACTAGCCAAAGAATTATCTCTGAGAATCCACATTAAAACCTAGTAATGTCAGGGATCTCTTTCTCCTGATCACTTGCCTTCTCAGAGGTGGGGGGAGGGGACACCATCTGATTAATCAAGAACTGCCCCACACCGGCTGGCAAAGTGCTGCAGGGATGGGAGCAGTTCCCAAACCTAACATCAAGATTCTGAGAGAAGATGCACCCCTTGAGCTGAGACCGGGGCATCGCAAGCCTGGGTTAGACGAGGGCTGAGCACTCATAACCATCCCATTCAGTGCAACTCTGAATCTTAAAGAGTTAGATGTCCTTGACCCCACCATTTGAGCCCTAAAATATTCTGATATTGTACAATTATATAAAAACATTAAGCTAATACAGATGAGTTTTTGCTAAAAGTATTTTCCTTAGTGAATCCTATTAAGTCAATGCAATTCCTTAGTTGATTTTTTCTTTTATAATTAACCATTCTAATCTTTTTTCACTTTCAATTTTAATTAACCAAACTTATTTTTCCCAAGAGCAAATCTTTTCCATGTGAATTTTTTGATTCCTTTATCAGATTTTAATCATATCAAGCTTCCAAATATAGTTTTTGCTGCTGTTTCATTTGTATTGATTATATCTACTAAGTTTTATTTTCCTGGTGATCTGTTCAAAACTGTGGAGTCAAATGGCAAGTTTAAGACATCTTCCTTTATGTGGGATACTTTCGCACAGCACACCTCTTCTTAAGAGAATCTCAGGGCATTTAGTGTGACAGCTCTTGCAGGGGAGGATGGCCAGGCAGGGTGGTCACAGGGAGCACTTTTTGGAGATTCAGCTTGATGGGGGTGAGAGATGGATCTTCCTATGAACTGATCCCTCTGGGAAATCCATACAGCTCTCTGAGTGGCAAGCAAAGCTACTTACTCTGTCAGGAAAGCAGTGTGCCAGCACAGGCCTGGACACCCACGAGCAGGAATGTCCATCACCTTCCCTGTGATGACATGGTCTGACTGACCTTAAATCCAGGGGTTCATGGATGGCTCTCTCTCCTAACCTTCCCAGAGCAATCCAGAAGCTGGGCTGGCAAGCTCCCCTCCAGTGAGAATGCATGTCTCTATCTGGGGAAAACAGCCAATTGGGAAGGGATGTCTCTTTATGGGTTACCAGAGCCTGAGACCAGATGGGGAGCCAGCCAGATCTTCTTCCTCCCTCCCTATGACTGCACAACACAAAGGGCCTTCCATTCTGCCTGACAGCAAAGCTGTCAGAGGCTGGGCCTGACCCCAGACTTCTCACAGGAATTCCAGGACACTGAAAACTTGGCCCAGTACTTGGCTGCTAAGCCACCCCAGACCCACAGACAGTCCAGGCGGACACACTTGCAGGGCATTTGCTTCTGGTGGAGAAGAGGCATCACGTGATGCTCCTGGAGAAGCCAGACCATGAACTTCACTTGGGCTCCTGGCTCAGGCTGAACAGGGACCAGCAGAGGATGGCACAGATAAGGGTCGGCGTTCACAGCCAACCCCGCCAGTGTCCTGGTTCTTGATGGGAAACTCAGGCTATGGCAGGATGACCAAGGCCCTCACCTGTAAGCTGAGGCAGTAATGCACACTGGAAAGGCTGTAAGAACATTCCTTGAGGTAACTGATATAAACTGCACAGCAGAGGACCTAACACACAGCAGGAGATTAGGAAATAAAAGTTCCTTTATGCCAATCCTTTGTCTGTCTCTCTCTCCCCCACATCTCCCTGCCCCCCCCCCCCTCTTCAA